TTGGTATCCCCTTGGACTTTTGTGCATTTGATTCTTTTTCAATGTTGTTCAATTTCTCGAATTCTTGCATCCTTTCTGTAAAATGATATGGTCAAGTCTCGGCTTTTGTGGATGAATGAGTTGTCCACTCTGGTGATGTAAGTGGTATAGAGCATCCTGATTTCAAGTAAACTTGAACAAAATGACTTGATTTTGAAATTCATCCAATACACATGATACGATCATTTGGATTTTGAGGTGGGGCGGTGCACAATGGGAAAAGGTTTCTGAAAACTCATAGTGTGTCAGGTCAACACACACCCTATCATACGTGCATGTTATTAGGTGACCTATTACAGAGAAGTGCATCCATTTTTCTCTAGTGTTGGACCGCTTAAGCAAGGAACAAGAGACTCATAAACTTCATCGATTTTTTTCTTTCCGTACAATCATGTGTATGATTCTTTATGCGTATTCAACTCTTGGATAAGTTGATGGTGGATAAGTATATGATTGTCTTCTCCTTTATCAAGTAAAGCCAAAATGGCTCGGTAACCGCAATTACCGTCCCCCAAAATATTGGCGATCCGCTCGATATATTTGTGCGTAGAAACTGACATCTCGTCGATTAATGGAATCTTTGTGGAGGCGGCGTCGGAGGTGGTTTACTAATACGAGTTCCTTTGACAACACTTTTTTGAGATTTTGGAGTTGGTGAGTCGGAAAAAACTTTTTCAACATGTTCAAATTATGAAATAGACCTTGTAGTCGAGTTATCATTCGGTGTAGGCTTCATTTTCGTTTGAGCATCTTTTGTTTTTACCGGTTGAGAGTGCGGTTTCATGTCAGTGATTTTCGGATAGGCAATCTTCCTCAATTGTTCTTTGATGTGGAGTTTCATGTTGTCATCGGCCTTCAAAAATCTCTTTTGTATCACTTCTCATTCGGTCAAAAAAGAGATATTTGATTTACCGTCATTCGTGACACCATATTCATCAAACATAAGTCTCTTACAATGAGTGCAAACTTCATCCATTCTTATTAGGTCACCAAGTTTCACCTTTTTAGCAATAACACAAGCACATAGGAGATCAAATATTTTCACAATTGTGCATCCACACTTTGCACTATCGGAGCCTACATTATCAGCTCGTTTAGCCTCATGAAAAATATTCTATAAACTCGTCCGAGAAATGTTATCGACCAACTGAGAATATAGAGTGTTGTCTTTAAATATGTGTTCCAAAAACTGTGATGCTCTGACCAAATGATATTTGTATCTCATTATGCGAATTTTGAATCATGTGGTTCACGGAGTCCTAGTCTACACACAAATCCTCCTTACTATTGCCCAACAAAATTTTCAAAGTAGCATGGGCATACTCAACTTTGTTAGTTGTTGTATTTACGAAGTGTCTAACATTATTAGTCCATGCACAAACAATTTTCTCCTTCACCTGGTCAAGAATTGTGCTTTCAACATATTTCAAAAAATTTGGATACTTTTCACACACTTTTCTAAAAAGCATAACGGAATCAGCATATAGTTCTTTTGTGGAAGAATTATTATACGACTCCATGCATTTATTATTTTTTCCACAACCACACCCGCCTTCACCATTTTTCAACCTTCGGAATCTATCTGTTTCATCCCTACCGTAGGTTGAACTCAACTTCTCACATTCTTTATCATGTGATACCTACAAAGTAATGCATAAGAAGAAATAATTACTTTTGCAACCAAATTTATCAATGCGGTAACGCGGTCGGTAAAAGTTACTTTAGGCATCTAACCTTGTTCCTTTAACAGTGTCCGGCACACCTCTAAGACACAAGTAAAATTGTCCTCTTTTTCACACTCAAGAAATACAAAACCAAAAGAATATGTCTTCTCAGTTGAGATAACACCAATCATCTCCAATAATGGAAGTTTATACTTGTTGGTCTTGTAGGTTAAATCAAGTGCAAGCACCGTAGGAAACGCGTTGAACAACTTTATGGAATCAGGATAAGTCCAAAAAATATCTCTAACAGTAACTCTATCCTCGCGCGTTCGATACCTAGACATGTAACTGTTATCATCCAACAGTTTCAAAAGTTGTTGCATCTCAGTTTTATCCCCCATAAGCGTCTTGTTAGTGAGGTGCCAAATATTATACACTTGCTTGATATTTGATATATTTTCGGGTCGTTTCGTTTCAATGTTGCAAGTATATTTTTTAGTTGAACAAGACTCAAGGTCATGTCAGCAACACCTTCCTTCTCTTGCGACTTAAGCCGACAGACACTAAGATGGCCGACTAATTTTAAACACAAATCATGGTTATACAAACCACATATCACATTAAATCTCCAATTTTTGTTTGACAACATGTAACCACGCACCTTAAACGGACAATCACATTTTCTTGTACTGATATCGTCTCTTTTAAAATTTTGGAGATGAGTTATATATTTCCCACTTCTTTCGCACGTCATCGTCACAAAAGCGCATCTATTATTCGAAGCATTATTGGACCTTCCGGTAACCACACCAAATCCAAGTTTAGAGACCTTCATACGAATCAATTGAAGCATTTGATCATGAGATTCAAACTCTTGCTTGTTTTTAAATTGGTTGCCAACATTTACCGCCTTCACAACAACATCTTGGACATTCGGAGAAACAACTCGTTTTGAGAAAACGTCAGGGGTGCACTATCTAATGAAAACAATTAAAATCATAACAGTACATAAGCGCTACTGCTGAAGACAGACTTGGAAACCAAACACAGACAACTTTCAAAAATGCATCTCCAAAAAAGTTCATACATGTTATAAATTTTCAGACACAAACAACTTTTTTTTATATAATTTTTTTTTGAAAAAGCTAAAAAAAATTATTGAAACTAAGGCATAAGATATGCCAGAACAAGCAAAACAACAATAACCAAAACAGACTCCAATTAATGCCACCAAACCTAAAAATACTGCTAAATAAATTGATATAATAAACCACGACAACATTACTAAATCATCTGCAACAAACTAGCAGAAAACAACCACTGAAAAAACAAGCACCACGCAATTCACCACTAAATAGAACTCAAATGAATTTACAACAAAAACTCCAGCCACCACACCAAATACCAAGCCAAAACTAACTGATAAAAAGCTATCTTGAAACTCATGGCCACCCAAGGCCATCTAATACTGAACAACACCAAGAACAACAAAACACTGACAAGGAAAAAACCAGGACTCTACCACCTGCCCAAGAATAAATGAAAAATATTTACTTGAAATTTTTTTTGTTTTTTACTCTCTATAATGTGATGAACTAAAAGAATGAAAATTTGGAGTGAAAAATGGATTGAGAATGAAGATTTTTTTTTGGTGAAGGGTTTGGTTGAAAACCAACTATGACAACAATGACTGTGTGATCCTGCAGCTACTTCTTTTATCATATATTTTCAAAGATGCATCTCCGAAAATATTTACAACTAACCATATCTATTGCAATATTAAACTCTAATAAAACTATCTAATAAACTAACCATATCTATTGCAATATTAAACTCTTTAATAAAACTATTTAATAGTTGATAATTAATTGTCGGTTACTAATAGTTAATGACCAAAAGCTATTAAGTTATTGAGTGTTTGATAAATTAGCTATTACATTAGCAAATAAATACAAATAGCATAAACGAATAATTTTGATTAAAAAATCAATAATTTTATTATTTTAATATATTATATTATTAAATTATTGTTTATTTGATAAAAATAAATATATTAATAAAACATGTAAAATACTTTTAATATATATGAAAAATTAAAAATAACATCAAAATATATTAAATTCATATATAAATTTTATAATAAAATTTAACAAAATATATAAAATAATATTATTATAATTTTAAATTTAGTTATATTAATCTAAAATAATAATAATAAAAATAAATTTATTTTTTAATATTCTATATTAAAGATTGCATCATCTTTCATTTTATGAGTTAAAACGAATATAATCACCCAATTCTATATATATAAGATAGTAAATTAAAGGATAAAAATAATTTTTTTGTTAAAATAATAAGAGTATAAATAAAAGAAAAAGTGACAAGCTAAAACTACAAGCTCAAAAACTATTTCAAATAGCTTTTGAAAAAAAAGCTAAAAACAAATAGGAAAAACTACAAACTAAAAGCTAAACCAATCAACTTTTTTTTTTTGTTAATATGAACCAAAAAGCTATTACCAAACTGACTTCTTAGTCTCTTCCTCGTGTGTTCGGTTCAGAATTCCATATTTGTTTCCATTTCATAGGATCTTTACAGGTAATCATTGCATGCACTAAGCATGACATAAGGGTGACATATCTTACTTTAACTTGGAAGACAAAGCTAAACAAATCGGTACATTAAATTGATAATCTAACAATATCAACATCCTCTCTGGAACACAACTATTGCTTGGCTTTTGCTGAGAAGACTGACTCTTGCTGAGAAGCCATTGAATTTATCAGCTCAAATGTCATATGATTTCCGATTTGCCAAAAGCATCCTGCTCATCCAATCAGAAGGCATGCCAGCAGAATTTGCTCCTTAAAACAACTTTATAGCAAATGGAAATCCTCCCTTTCTTCCACACCCATTCCACTAAAATAACAATAGAGAGCTACTCTGCAATTTACTTGACAGTCTGGTAAAACTGAACAAAGAAGTCGTGATTAAATGGCCACTTTCTTTTAACTTAGCTGAGTCTTATTTCCAATAGCAAGTTACAGAGAATGGATTCAAAAACCCTGCCATTTATTTTACACTTGTCAAATAATTTTAGGGAATTAGGGGTACTACTTCTCAAACTAAGCTGATGATGTATTCAAACCTACATACAACAAATGTTGATATTAACATCATATACTAACCTGCCTGCTACTTAAGTTTCCTCTATTAGCTGGCAAAGGTTGAGTTTATTTTTAACACATGCTGATACTGAAAGACAAAACACATTCTTATGCATTGGCTTGTATTTCACTGCATGCTACTTCGAGTCAGAACTCTATCTATAAGCATTTGCCTTCCAGACAAGTCTTCTTCATAACTAACAACCTGCATGAGAAGTATGAACTTGTCAATTACCATTAGTATACTGTAAATTAAGCCTGTGCAGAAACTGAGTAACTCTTTTTCCCATGAAAAACAGAACTTAAAAGTAAAAGGAGCTGCATGTGATAAAACCTGAGATTCTGTTTGTGTTTCACTAAAACCATCATACATTCCAGCTTTTCGGTCTTGAGGAGTCTCACCATTATCTCCATTTATTCCATTTCTGAAAAGTATAAGATCAGTGCTGATCTATACAAAATTGAAAAATGATGTACAAGATGCTTCCGTTACAGTTTATACTGTGATCAGATGCATTATTAGATAGATTCTAACAACAAATATATCTACTTTATTTGAACCAGTAGCATTTGAAAAAATGCTACAAACCAGTGAGATAAGCATATTTACCGAACATTTCTACTATACACAAATGAGCTTATAAGCTAGTCAAATCTACGAAATACCAGACACAGCCTAAATGGTGAGACGACAACGACAATAAACATTTTTAATAGGGAAGTACGGAAAACCAACCTGTTTAACCAGTGCTTTGATAATCCATAGACAGTGTGAGGATTTGGATTGTCTTGGCCAATGGCTGAACAATCAGATGAGTAAATCTATTGTACTGTAAAGGATCACTACTACATACAAAAAAAATAAAATTATAAAACAGAACACAACCTCCATTGAATCTATCACACTTAAAGGATACACTTCTCTCACACCCTGTATTCCCTGGGGACCTCTGATCGTGCATCTTTGAGATAAGATAAGAGAGTGGTTAATGCAAGAACAATTCAGAAAAGGTAGAGTAAAAGAACTTTCTTTTAAATATAAGTCTGCATACAATACCATTAACAAATCAGTATTTTTACCTTGCTTGTCTGTTCTAACAAGTCCTCTATAGCAGTAGCAACATCAGGACCAGCATGGGTTACCTCCCGAGCATCTTTGAGCTTATTATCTTCAGAAAAATTCAAGTCAGAGACATGAATGCCTGAATTTACTGCAGAAGGCACCCTATTACACTGGTCAGGTTCTTCCACGAGCCTTGCCTTTTTGCTATTAATGCTTGATGTTTTAGAACGAGTCCTATGATTGTCAACTCCCCTATTTACATTTTTATTTGTCGTGCTTCTCAAACTTTGCGATTGACTTGGAAACTGGGACGGCATGTCATTTATCATTCGAACAGCCTGGGTAGGAAATTGACTCACTGTGCAAACTCCTGCCTCTCGGTCTTGACTGGTGACTTCTTTGGGCAAAAATTGATCAGTGGCAATAACTCCATTCTAGAAGAGGACAAAAAAAGCATATTGATATAGAACATTTTTGTCCTTAACATAGAAAATGCATGTAGACTTGCACGTATAGCAAGAAGTTTATGAACAAGCAGTCATCAGAGCTCTCAGTGGCCTGAATAATACCTGTTTGACACATTCAAATATCCACTCAGATGTAACTGATCGGATCCCCCACTTACAAGAAGCCTCGTACTTGGGCCCATTGGTGAATTTACACAACAAATGGGTGACCTTCTTAGTCAACTTATCTGCAAATGTAGCTCCTAGAACTTTACACAAGTTCCAAAGTAGAATTCTGTCTTTCTCCTCATATTGTGAAACACAAAATCGGAGGCTTTCAAAACCAGGCAAGGGAACACGGCAGGGAAGTGGAGAATAAATAATATGACTGTCCACATCCAGCAAGGATCCATCCTTGAACAAAAACATCACAATCACATTATCAGTATGCAAGCAAACAAATCTGCAAGGAGTCCATGTAACAATAAAAACAATTTATTACCAGTATTATTCAAGATTCACAACACAAACAGTTTAGATTGGCAGTTATTAAGCAGGTTTATAAACTTATCCAAATATGAAAAAGAGATTTTAGGAACTAGGAATGCAGATCTATATCAGTTGCATTGCACCACAACCTGGTGTAGCTCAAAAGAAAATGAAGCATCAAACAGACAAACATAGAAGAGATGTGTTGTTGGGTGGCTGGGTTTATCTTAAGGCCACTCCTTACAGATGGCACTCTGTCAAGGCACATTAATGAGAAAGTAAGCCCTCTTTTATATGGTCCCTTTGTTATTATGGAAGGAATAGGGGCAGTGGCTTATAGGTTTAAGATGCCTAAAGAGAGTAAGATTTTCAAGCTATTTTCCATGTTAGCAAGCTCAAAAAAGCAGTACCTAGTACCTACTATTTATCAGCTTCAATGGTTGCTGCTCTTACAGACGGTGGGAACTGCAACCCGAGATTCACAATGCTAACTACCTTCATTACAACAACAGTAGATCTGCAGAGGTGCTTGTTAAGTGGAAAGATTGCCCAAATTGTGACAATTCTAGGGAAACATTTGAGGCACTGCAACAGTCTTTTCCATTGTTTCCGTTTGAGTACAACGTGAAAGCGCGAGCAGGGGTATTGATAGACACCGCGTAGCTAGGAGAGGGTATGTGAAGGGGAGTTCCTAAGTGTAATTAGACTTTATTATTAATACGAAGGAAAGGGAAATTAATTAGATAGTTGGGATTTGATTCATTCTCGTTAGCATGATGATGATCCTTGAACCTCACCATTCTTGTAGCTGCATTCAACCTCTAGAGTCTAGACCTCCTTGTTACAAGGGATACTTGAATAATACTCCAGGATCCTATCAGTTTTATTGCAATTTGCACATAATTATAGGAAATAGAAAAACCAGGCATCTTTGTTGATGCTTGACAGCAAATACTATCATTATTTATTATGTATAAAATATGGGAGATAACTCACAAAACACAACATATCAAACTTCACTTCATGCATTGTATTGGAAATAGGGGGGCAAAAAACACACAGTTGTGATACTTCAGGACGGTACAAATTATTAACTTACAAGTATGTCTAAGACCATAAGTTGATGGACCAAACACACTCCTTGTTTACCCTCCTCAACACAAAACAACCTAAGACAAGGCTGCCGTTTTTATGCGATGAAAGCCACCGGAATTTTTTCTCTGATGACTTCATTCTTGATTATATCTGGTCTTTTGTGATTACCCATCCAATGTAGAATCCTCATCTCTACAATACCGACCGTACTTTCTTATCAACTCTTATCCCCAGCATTCATTCTCATTCGACATTCTAAGTAAGAGATAAAATTTTCCTCTAAGGTTGTGAATGGTACTTTTCTAACACAAATTACATCAAAAGCATTTCTCTATTTGATCCACTCTATTTGGTTCCTATGATTAACATCTGCTTCTATCTGTCATTTTGTATAACTTTCCAACATTATTTACATACTAAATGCATTTATGCGATAACATCTTGAAACAGTTTGGCCATGATAAGGTAAGCCTTTCACCATCAACCAACATTCCAGTTTATTCAAATATATAAATAGAGATCTATAACCCGTTGAACACCATAAAAGAAGATAACCCAAAAATAAACCTGAAAAAGGAAATTTGCATGTGACCAATCAGGCTTACCTCCAAACAAGATCGTATCCAGTGACTGGAAATATATGTACTTTCATAATCACCTGTTGACCTGGGTTTTACACCGTGGCATTCAACAATATAGTGGATAATCTGTTTTGTTTGCCCACTTATTAGCTCTCCTCCCCCTTGACCTATCCATTGAACAATCTCAGCTCTCTGCCAAAAGAGATCAAAAGTAAATTAAAAATCAACTCAAATATATGTGTAATGTTTTTGGGGGAAAATTATATGTATTTTGACAGACGCTGACCATAACTGGAAGAAAAAAAAGTAAAAACAATATAATGCCAATTTAACAATTAACACATTAAGAATATTAAGACATAATTAAACTCGTTATAATTTCATATATCTTACCCTATCTTCAGGAAATAAATTTGAGAAACAAAATGTTTTCCCTTTGAAAACATTTATTGACTTCGCATGTACATTGGAGTCATGTTGCGTGCTCTTTTGTACCCTCAATTTTTTATCAGGATGTTGAGTTTGCGGCATAGTTCTATCTGATGCTTTCCCGAATGTAACAACATTCATACCCGTACTGTGTTTCTCTTGTTTGTTTTTATCCAAAGATTCTGGTATCGTAACTCCAAAGTCCTTAATACCCGCCACCTGATTAGTTTGAAAGCTTTGGCGAAAGCTTGAGCTTTTACTTTGATCCATAGGCATAATGCCAGTAACTGTACCTTTTACTGAGTTGGCTGAATTTAAGAAATCAGAAAATAATTAAAGCTGTGGACTCCATAAAAGTATGTTCACAAATTATTTAAGAAAAATTTAATAGATTAACCAAAAAGTAGACAGAAAACAAATAAGAACATCGTGTAAGGACACCTTTTGGAAGAAGAAGATCACATGCAATGTGTCGTCGAAGAACAGGGACTTGTTTCTTTACACGGTCACAATCTTCAAGCCATGAGGTTTTAACAACATAAACAACACCAAGAGCAGCAATACTTCTTACTTCCTTCTTTTCTCTTTAAAAACACAAATGTATGTGAAGATAAATCATAAATACTGGAAAAGGAATGTTTGCCAAATTAAGTCCATAAGAAAGCCATATTTGTGAAACTAACATCTAGGAATCATCTACATTGATACAGCTAAAAAACAAAAGACCAAAACTCAGAGAAACTATCAAGAAACAGAGACATTATATGCATCCATTCAGTTTATTCTTCATATCATAATAGACTTACATTTCTGTAGGATTCCCAATTACTATGTGTGTCAACTTATCATTAAAATACATGTATCGGGAGCCGCCACCTTTACGCACCATATTAACTAGTTTCCGCATTTCAGAAGCTTCAAAACCAACAAGTAATATTCTACATTCTGCTAAGTATAGGTCATTGTCATCGGATTCAGAATCATTGGCAACAGCACCGTCCAAGTTCAATTCATCGCTAGTCAGCAATGGAGGTGCTTCAGCGTCTGCCTCTTTAACAAATAATGGAACATTTGAAAAAGACGACATATGTTCTGACTGTGTAGCTTCTGGATCTACGTCCATAGACTCAGCACAATCAGAAACTAGCATATTTGAATCTGCAGCTCTTGAGGATGATCCAGATTGCATTTTCCCAATATCCCTATCCTGGCTATGTTTCACTGTTAAGTCCCTAGTCACCTTACGTGAAGATAAAGATCCATTCTGAACAGGGTAGGACTCCTCATTCAGACATGCTGTCCATAAAATATACAAATAAACAAAAATCAAAGTCAGTGAAGAAAATCATGAAACTCCATAGCAGAGTTTGATAGAAGAGAGAGTAAACTGAAAAAGAATAACCACCACTAACTGAAGCATACACTAAAAGCCCAAGGCTTATCTGACATAGCGCTGAGCTCAAGATTATAATCGAGTTATCCAAAATATGTATGACGGGGTATCGACTAGTGTGCAGACACAGATGATTTTCCCGTTACAATAGAATTGCACCGCGGTTCAACTCTATGAACCTATCTTTTTACTTTAATTTTGGATGTACTCATGGAACACATCTAAGAGCTTAGCTAGCACCGAGAAGTAAACTTTTTGCAAATGATATAGTCCTACTTTGAGAGTCAAGAGGGGATTTAAATGAGGTTGGAGACTTGGAGACGAGCCTTAGAAACGCATGGTTTTTGCCTAAGCAGAAGTAAGACGGAGTGAAATGTAAGTTCGGCAAAAGGATAAGTATTTCTAACCTAGAGGTGAAAGTTGGAGACAATATCATCTTACAAGTCACGTGGTTTAAATATTTTTAATCTGTAATACAAAACGATGGAAAAATAGAAGGGTATATAAGCTATTGAATTCAAGTTGGTTGGCTAAAATAGAGCAGTGCCTCGGGAGTTTTGTGTGCATAAACGTACCACTCCACCTCAAGGAAAAATTGTATCAAACAAGCGATAAGATTTGTAATATTATACAGGAAAGTATGTTGGACAGTTAAGAATCAACGCGAAAATAAAGTAAGAGGAACAGAAATGAAGATGTTGCGTTGGATGTGTCATAAGACTGGACAGGATAGAAATGAAAATATTAGAGTATTGAGGCAGCACCTATGATAGAAAATATTGTGAAAAGTGGGTTTAGGTGGTTTGAGCATGTAGAGAGAGACATGTAGATTTTGTTGTAAGGAAAGTATATCGTATGGATAGAAGTCAAATAACTAGAAGTAGAGGAAGATCTAGAAAAATTATAAAAGAAACTATTAATAAAGATCTCGAGATTAACAAATTGGATAGAAACAGGGTCTTAGATAGAACATTATCGCAAAATTTGATTCATGTAGCCGACCTCAATCAGTGGGATAAAACTTGGTTGTTGTTGTTTCTGTTTTTGCGAAATTATAACTAACTCTCCCTCCAATTTGTTGTGCAATCCTTTCCTAAAATGGGGTATTGGCAATACATAGCCAAAAAATAGCCTTACCAGGAATCTATTAGAAAGTCAAGACTCAAAATCCCAGAATTTTGGATCAAATCAATCAGCCTAGCCTATATCTATGATAACGGTGAAAATCTATCAAGAAAATAAGAGTAAAGAAATAAATGAGTAACAGAAACATACTCTAACAAATGAAGTCCTACTGTTTAGTTTGAAACCAAAAAGGTAGCACAACATAGCATTAAAGTATAAGAATTACCTCTTCGAGCAACAGATTGATCAAACCATTTCATTGTCACAATATGAATGTGGCCCCAACGTTTTGCCACCTTATACTTATCACCCTCAGGAGCGTAAGAACAGTCAAGAACACAAATATACACCATGTTCAGTCAGAGAGGATCAGATGCACATGAATCAAACCTCAACAACAGATCTTTTAGTTGAAATATTGAATTATTCAGTCAGAGAGGATCAGATGCACATGAATTAAAACAAACCTTTTGCATTTTTACATTAATAGCAAGTACAGAAGGGATACTAATCCCTAAGGCAATGCAATAGAGGACAATGAGACAGGCAAAATTCAAAATATCACCTTACAAATACATGAATATTTGCACGTCCGAAAGAAACATCATTATTTGATAGAATTGGCAAAAGGATATATCAGAAATCAAATGTGTGCACTTCTTTGTCAATTCTGCAGAGTATTTTCCACCATTTTGTAGAATAAGCTTTTCCATCTCTTTCCGCTTATCTGAAAAAACTCGAAACAAATTAGCATCTAACAGAGAAGCGTTTTATTATGACCAGTAATAAAAGACATAATTTATAACCTGCTGGGATTCCAGTCACGCAGATCTTTAACCCCGAGAAAGGAAGAACCTTATATGACTCTTGAGGAACAACGCGATGCTCATCTGAGCATTGTTTTAACCATTCATAAGTAACTATTGGTTTCTTCAGGATATTCAAAGCCCACTGCCAGACATAACATGGTGTATATTAGAGGGTACAGAATAGAAATAAATTTAACATCAATCAATCCTCCACAAAGATTGGATAGGTGTGGAGTTGGTTTATTAAACCAGCGTGCAAGCAAAACAGACAGCTTTAATATTTCAATAGGAAGATGAGCTTATTAGTGACCATCTAGATGCAGTGTTGAGAATTGAGATTTATCCGAATCCAGAACTAAATGAGATAGATCAAAATATAAAACATATGAGCTCCAGTAAAAGCCATATTAGCCGCAACAAATCAACAATTTGGGACATAACCCAAGCAAGAAACAAAACAAAAAGTGACGACCAAAGAAAAATGTTTATCGTAGTTAATCGCACATAAGGAATAAACTTAGGATTTTGTGATTATTATTGTATTATTTATTGTACATGCATGTGCTTTTCTACAACACACTTGTACTACAAATTGTATATAGCTTCTTTCTTGGCTATATATAACACTAAGATGTACAATGAAAGACACTTGCATTATACATATTTTGTAGATGAAGATTTTCACGGTGATCCTTTATTAATTTACAGTATCATAAAATATTACAGCCAAGGAACCAACATAAACTTTAAATTAGAAATGAAATCCATCTTTAGTTCAAGATAAATCAAACACTGAAAACATCAACTTTGGACATAATTGCTCTTAGAATTTGGGTTGAGCCTAACTCATCCCTACAAAACCGGCTTGTAAGGTGAGGATTGCCCCCACTTATAAACACAACACAGGCCATATCTCTAAGCAATGTGGGACTAAATCCACCCCTTCAAAGCTAACACGATGAAGGTGTTAGGGGATGCAATGAGGCAAGCCAAAGTGTCGCAATTAAGGCGACTAGGGGCGGATCGCAATTAAGGCGGAAAGTCAAACACAACCCCTCATGCTCGGGCCTCAATGAGCCCAAAGCGTGGACGATGCGGGAAGCCCAACAACAGATCTAGGATAGGCTCTGATACCATCTCAGAATTTGGGTTAGGTCCAACCCAAATTCTGAGAATTGCAGAGAGACTAAGACTAAAGCATGTAAGATACTAAATAGTCTTAAATACAAACATGGTGATGAACCTAAAAGATTTATACTGCTACCTAAATTACTAGCCAAAAGCAGTGTTAATTATTGCCAACTATGACCAAGACTATAAGCTTCCTCCCTTGGACCAGATGTTGAATTCTCTCTTCAACAAATTTCAAGCAATAAGATAGCTTTTAAATTGATTTTAACATGCATAACTGCATACAATCCCCTGAGTGCTTTTTGTGACACATTGGGGGACAGGATAATTATATGCAACAGAGAATATAACATATAAGCTAATTAGGAATATGAATATAACAGAAGGCAAGCTGGAAGGAAAGACCAACTTGTCTGGAACAATATTTTAAGAAAAAACATATGTCATATACTTAAGAATAATATAAAAATATAGAACAAAAAATTCATGTACCAGACCTTGTACTTTAGAGCCAAAACATTTTTCACAATGACAAAGTTCAAATCTGAGGACAGTTTAGTCTGTAGAGCTCCCCCCATTTCAGTCACTAATTCTTCTATTTTAACCTGCAGGGTCACACATACAATGAAAATGGCAATTGAGAACAAAACTAGGAAAGGAGGAGTGAAGGATAAAATAAGAAAATAACTGACAAGACAACTTATGAGCCTTCAGCACAATGCTGACAAAATTTTGATCAAAATTAAAGAAATTAAAAACAATGAAGAAAACAAAAATTTTAATGTGTAATAATGAAAAAATAGAACATAAAATATAAACGTAAATAAACTATAGCAAACCAGAATCATAAACAATATGTAAAATCAGAAACTATTTATGTTAAAAAATGAATTTTATAACTCTAATTTGAAGTTAGAATATTTCTCGTAGAAATAAATTCGAATCCATCTTTTTCCTGCATCCTTTTTTATTCAACTTCAAGGAGTATCCAATTCAGAGAGGGTAGCAACTAGCAAGCAACTCATTTGCTTGACAACCATATGGAGAAGATGAGCAAAAGGAAAATTTTATATACCACATAAATCTTCTGTTAGTAAAATAAAAAATACTGGAACATGCAAACATGGATAAAAAACCACACAATACCTTCTCATCCGCATCAAAGCCAGAGGCGAGTATTTTGACACCATCCATAGTAAAGCAGCAGGTGAAACCTTGTTTAGGCAGAGGCCTTCGTTCTTTAGCGCACAAAAGAACACATCTAGGACCTGCTCAGTAATAAATTAAAAAAAAAACAGAGGAACATCAGCTTCCTCAGTTTCCACGATGAGAACCAACACAACAGCACATGTGTGTAAACCACCACTGAATGCTTAAACGTTATCAAATTGGAAAATGAAACCTAAATACTCTGATTGTTCAGTCTAACATTAAAATAAAATAAAAATCTATCATAAGAAAAATCTTCACCTAATACCACATGACGAAATTTCACATCTAAGTTTCTGCCATTTTACCCTAGATCACGCAAAAGCTTGGGATCTTTACAATGTGATTCCTATGTAGCAACTACACTTGAAATGAAAGGCATATCTTTTATCCAACACCTGACACCACACTGACACACGTAGCTACATTTAATAGTTGTTTGGTTTACCGGTAACATCCCCTTTTTCGCATCATGAGGCGTGGAGAGTGAAAAGCTACAATTGTTAGCTTCTAATTTACAGCACGGTGGCGTTGGGTATCCCTACCAACAAACTCAAGCTCAATCACTTATATTTTCTCAAATTATTAAAAGTGTCTAGATGTCGATATAAGTGGCGACAATGCTTGGTCCGTGTTTGTGCCTCATAGGTTTTCCAAGTTTCAACAATCAATTGCATAGTTGTTCCACCACATCAATTGAAAAATGGAATGTTAAACTTCTAACAATAGCAATAATCATAAGGATATGTGATTGACAATACATACCGAGCATTTTACAGCCTTTGGATTTAAGATCTTCAAATTTCTCCTGAAAAACAAAAACAAAAAATAAATCAAAAAAATGAAATGATAAAAAATATATAAGGCAAAAATCTGATAGTGAAATTGAGGAATTACGTGTTTACTGCAAGAAATAATGTGATAATCGTTGGGGCCATTACGGGAAGGATCGCAACAAAGGTGAATTTGAGCACCGTTATTTTTAACAGCGTCGTGAAGCGTGTCGAATACTTCCGGCGGAACTAGGTTTCGCGACATGAACACGTTTACGCCTTGAAATGACTTTGATTTCGACATTTTCTTCTTCTTCGATTAAATTAGCACTCTCTTCGGTGGAACCGCAAATTCTTTCACTGAATTTTGGAAGAGGAATGGGAGTGGAGTGGAGTGAAGTGAAGAAGATGATTTGGGGAGAGATTTTTGTTTGTTTTGAAGTAGGTTTAAGAGAGGGTGAGTTTAAACAAAAACGCGGGAATGTGAATTCAGTGGTTTAGATTTTGGATGCAGATGATGGCGCTGCACTCTAGTGTAGTGTGGTTTGGCTTCTTCTGAGGTGGAAGTGTTTACTGTTACCATCACGCCCTAATGTTACACATTTTTATTTTTATACACATTTATTTGACATTGTTATACTTAGTTATCCCAATATAATGTAATAATATTTCTAAGTTAAGGTTAGTTAGAAATTAAATATAGTAAAATTTATATTGTTTGTCTATATTTAAAAATCTAAAAAAAATTTATTGAACTTTATTTCTTATCTAGTGCTCTTTAACATTTTTAGCATGCCGTTCTTAGTTATTGTATCATAGGGTTAAATACTAAAACAATGTTATATATTTGCCGTAAGAAAAAAAAGACGGTATTATCTCTGTTAAATTAATTTTTAGGGTGAGACAATGTTTTAGATTTAATACTTAATATCAACAACAAAATAAATATTTATATTTAAATTAAACACAGATGTATTTCATAAAATTTTGATTCGAATTTAAATATTTTTTTCCTCTCATCAAAATCAATGTTTTCTTTTAAGTTTTATTTGAAAGTTTGAAAGGGAGTGGAAGGGAGAATTTTCAAAAAAAATGATTTTCTTTTAATATAATAAAGAAATTTTAAATATTTTTTAAAGAAATTGTTTAGAATGATAAAGTAGTGTTTATTATTTATATATTTTTAATTTTTAAAATATTATAACAATAAAATTTATATTTAAATAATTTGTCTAAACCCTCCTCCAATATAACTTGAGTTTCTTAAATTATGGGATTTTTAATCTTATGGTGTTGGTCGGCTCTTAGATTTTTTCAAAGATGCATCTGTGAAGATTTATGGGATGAATTTGCAGATGCATCTCTAAAATCTTCTATGTATGTTTCTTGGTAGAAACTTTGTCTTAGGTTTGTATTTTTTATGAACTCAATGTCACTTTAATTAGACTAACATAGTCATTGTTTGATTCAAACATTAATAAATATGAATATTGTACATCAAGGTAATGTGTTAATTAAAAAAACATACAATCATATTATGATCATTATTCTCAAAATATGATTAAAAAAAATACAAAAACATCCCAAAATTCAAATAAAAGCATAACCTATTACGTATGTTTAATCCTACCCCATGGCTCTTCCTCTACCGCTGGTAACCTAAGGCATTTTGTGTCTCGGTAAGAATTAAACGTGTATGGCAACCGCATCATTAACAGCTCCCTCAAGCAGTGCAGACTTTATGCCCTCGTATGTAATTTGCATAATATTCTGACAAATCAGCAACACATCAATGGCATGGTCATTCCTGACTTGCTCATTCTCCATGATCACCTCATGAGCAGGCCTATGTGGACGTTTAAGAGCGTCTGGTATCATAAAAGGGTGTGAGATATTATAAAATAAAGTCATGTAATCATCTGCATAAGACCATTGACTTGTGGCTAACATACTCTGATACATCTCTCGTACTAGATGACTCTCGTAGTCCATCAATATGTCATCAAAATGTCTGCAAACTATGTTGGTAAAAGCAAACACGAATGGGGATCTCAGGATGATTTGCACATATCCAATGACATGGGTCGCCATCTTTTCCAATGATCTCAGAACACAAATAGATCTACAAATACAAGGCTACCCTCGTTTTACTTTTTTAGAAAGTATAATTGGCGACCATTGTGGACCATTGGTAAAAATGACATAGTCTGCCTTCTTTTCCAATGATCAACTTGTTTCTTGTTTCTTCAATTCCTTTTAGACGAACATCGATTTCAGCCGACAACAACTTCAACAGTAACCATATGGCTATAGCAGAGGACAATCTCCTTAACTTTGGAAAGCAGAGTCCTTAACTTCCATTAGTACCAGCAAGAGGACATTCTCATTTAGTAGACATAAGTTTTGGACCCCTAATTGTATCCGACGAGATATAGGGGCCACGTACCTGAATGTTTTAAGCGACCATCACTCTCAAAATTCAATGGTAGAAGTTGTAACACCCTTATTCTACCCCAAAGATATTACGGCAAAATAACACGGATTTTAGAGTAAAATATTATCTTTCATTAAAAAGCCACAAAAGGGCGTACATTTCTCAAAGTCAACAAAATTAGTCAATACTCCGTAACACACGGGTTTTCTCAAAATACATCAAAACATCATATACAGCGGAACTCAAAACATAACTCAATGTTTTCCTCATAAGGGAACACCAGTAAAATAACCAAATGATATACAATCAACTCAAAGAACCCAACCCGATGTTACATATCAGATCAAGACCCTCTAAATTAACCATAAAGGCTAACGACTCTAAAACTTCAAAATACTCCTTGACGGCGTCCACGGCTAAACTTGCTCATTTGCATGTTACCCACATGGAGGTAACATTCAAACAGGCAGGGTGAGTAAGACAATTCATAATAATTAATGTATAACAATTAATGCATAAACGGCATATTACTCATAGTTATATTCAACACATTGATATTCTTCAATTATGCCTCAAAGGTCACAATGTCATAACTATACACAAAGGCTCAGAAATGCAAATGCAACATAGACTCAATGCATGCGGTACCAATCATCACAGCGCGATGGACACTGGGCCATCAACCCTCTATAGATTCCCATCAATAGGATCGATTCTACTAGAGAACCGGAGTACATCATAATACTTCACATCCGCACAGTGGGATTGAAGCCAAAACAATCAAGGTCCTTAACCAAAGTCCGGATGCACATGAATGCATGATGCACACTTCACAATAATCCTCATAATAACACCATAGGTGTATCATCATTCATCATATTCGTCATATTCATCATCATCAAACGTCATAGCTCATCAACACAGTTATCATTGTATGCTACGTCATCACAATTTGTTATAATAATCATCTTCATACATCATAGCTCATCATAATAATCAACATCACCACATAAATCATCATATCTCATATAACTCATCATAATAATCATCGTCATCACATAAATCATCATATCTCATGTTATCAAATAATTCATCATAATAATCATCACCATCACATAAATCATCATAATTCACCAAACATCATATCATCATAACTCATCATAATAATTAATCTCACACATCATGTCATCATATAATAACGTACAAATCACATATTAGCTCATAGTCATATTATCACATATTATCCCATATTATTTCATAATACTACCCCATGTTATCTCATATTAACTTATCAAATTATACTCGCGGTAATCCTCACACTATCGCCTATCAATCACATAAACTTCACAGTCCTACTCATGTTAATTCATCACATTATCACAGTTACCCCCATGGTAATTCATCAGGAAAATCGCAGCATCAAAACATCAAGACATCACTGAACCACAACATGATTCGCTACTAGAACATATACCAAATTGACTTCTCAAACACAGTTAGATGTACAAATATTGGGAAAACAATTCCCTTATCCATACTATGTTATAGCTCTGTTTATTATTTTTCCAACACTTTGAACGGGGGTCAAAACGGACTTACGGATCAAAAGTTACGTCCAAAACGATTTCGACCGAAAACATGAACAGTCGTGACGGACATCAAAACGCTGTTACGAACCAGAACCTAAATTAACCCAAAAGTCCACACGATTCACTTCCCAAATACCCCTAAAATATCCCTAAATCATCCCTAAGGTCATACGGCAATCACGACACAAAATCTATGGTTTATTAGGCCAATCCGGCAACATTTGCACTGCCTAAATCATTATTTTCGTGCAATTGCTCTGAGTGCATTAAAGTTACTCACATTTGAATATTCTTATTCCTACAGGGTCCAACATATAACAATCCAAGGTTTGGCCATGAAGGCCAAAGGTTTCCCTTTCTCATATCAATATTCAGTGTTACATACCATAAGCTATAATCTCATAGTCTTATCATCAATTTTCCCTAATTTTCCCAATTAACTGGCGGTTAGATTTGCACTTACAGGTTTAGGCCGCGAGGCCAAAGATCATTATTTCCCATCTACCATTGGAATCCTTATGGTTACCTTCTAATCTTATCACGGTCAAAATCTTAATGATAGATTTTGGCCACGAGGCCAAAATCCCTTTTTCCCATAATTCTCCCTAAAACTCCCAAACCAACTATAAACACATCGAAAGACATACATAGAAAATCATGAAAAGCGATACTCCCTATACCTTAGCCGATTCAAAGCTTTCACGATTGTCTCCGGGAATCTTCTTCCTCCAACCTTTCCTTCAGAGCTCTGGCCACCATATTTTCACGGTTAACATAAATGAATTCTAATTTCCCTTCAGAACTCAATTTTGTCCCACTTAGTCTTGGGTCTCCCAATTTGGGCTTTCCCCGTAATATCCTTACTAACTCCTCCAAATGCCCAATTTAACATTATTTCACTTATATTTATTTTAATTAATAATAATAATAATATTCTCATATAATGTACTATTAATTAAATAAATAGTCCAACATGCACATTTTCTCAGTAATTCCCAAAACCACCCAAAACACCCAAAACACCAAAATACAAATATTCTCAATTAAATAAATAAATTAAAATATTTCGATTAAATTTGGAGTGTTATAGAAGTGATCCCTATAAGTATGTCACATTCATTAACACATAAACGACGACCAATTGAGCCTCATGTCCCTTGAAATGCAAGCTTTTTTATAGAACTTTCAAGGACGTCATGTTAAGGTGGTGCATAAGTGTGTCGCGACTCTCAGACACTAGCTATCATGACCTAGTAAAGAAGTTGGTCCACCAATTATCAA